GGGAGACCCTGAGGGTGTTGGAGTGTGAATTGGATGTCAGTTTGCGTCATTAGATCCGTGTCCGTGTCCGAGTTCTTGAGGATAGTGGGTGTGTGGATGTAGGAGAATGTTCTCAGAGCTTATTTCAGCAGAAAGTGACAAGGTATTTGCAGCTTATTGAAAATGTCTCCACACCCCTTAAGAGAGGAAAATTTATGAATGTAACAAAATGTTAACAATTGGTGGATCAGAGTTGAAAATACTCAGATAATGATAGTTCTCTACTTTCAGATTTGTTATCATTTTGGCTTTTCCCCAAACGTGGGGGAAATTTCTCACCAGCCCACCATGGCCCCTTTGTGCAGTTCTGTTTAATTCCTCAGGCGGTGGGGGCCGGGGTGGGGGGGATAAATGCTTGGACCCTCGGCTTCGTGGCCAAACTCCAGCACACGCCCTCGCATCTTCAACAGCATTTCTCTCTGCTCTGCACCCATTAGTGGGCCTGTTCTTCCTGCACCTTGTCTAACTTAGAGACCTCTCAAAGTTCTGAGCTAAGCAGATCAATAAAAATGAACAGCAGTTAAAGACAACAGTTCCCCTTTGCGCCAGGGAACTGGGTTCTCCAGGTGACTTGTTCGGCACAGCAGTGGGGCAGTGAAAGACGAGCACTAACTTTCTCCGGGTGGTGACCAGAGTGATGCTCGCACATCAGTTATCTCATGCCAGAGAGCAGGCCAGTTTTCCCAGAGACTTTTGAAAGCCCCTTATCCTGGATTCTTCTTTCAAAGCGAGCACCGTGCCTCGGTCCAGACTCACAGCAGGACAGAGGGCCCCGCACCTCATCAAGATGCAGGGGGCATTGCCAGGGGCTCTTCGAGATTTGTTGTTTCAGAAGAGATTGGGATCCAGGACTTTCACTCCCAGAATAATTAGCCTGATTTCTAGCCGTGGTATAAAGGTGTAGAGCAGGGCTGGAAAGTGAGGGAGAGACTCAGCTGCCCCCATTTGGACACTGCTGGGTGAGAACAGTGGACAGAGAAGCAAGCACGTCATTTTATTTTTTTAAACTGAATTTTATTTATTTGGTTTTTGGGCTACACTTAGTTTGCTCAGGAATTACTCCTGGTGGGCTCGGGGACCATATGGCATGCCGGGATCAAACCCAGGTCGGCCACCTGCAGGGCAAGCACCTAGCCGCTGCACTGTGCCTCTGGCCCCTCTCGTTCACCTTTAGATGATAGTTGCCGCTTTGTTGGTGGTGTTGTTGCTGATGTTGCTGGAACTGTGTCAGCGTCAGTAGTCTAAGAGCGCTGACAGGTTTTCAGGCCACAGATGTTTAAGATTATTTGGGTCTTCTCATCTTCTCCTCTTCTACCTTTCTGAGTCTGTATTCCCTAGAGTAGCATTGGGCCTGTGCAGGGGTGTGACTGGGGTGGCTGGTGTGTAGATGCACCTGATCTCTGGGGAGTCTCCATATCCCTAGAGTAGCACTGGGTCAGTGCAGGGGCGAGGCTGGGGTGTAGACATCCCTCATATTTTGTAGTCTGGCCAAGTTCTGAGGAGATCTGTGGGCCGAGGGTGAGTTGTGAAACTGGCCCTAGGGTTAGGGCTTTACTCTTCCTTCTTAACCAATTTCAGCCTAGTCTAAAGGCTTCCTGGAAAGAACGCCCAGATAGGCAGCGCTCACTGAAGAATCCCCCTGACCGTTTTCGGTTCCTCGGCCCCAGCTCCGGTGACTCTGCAAGCCCAGAGAGCCTGCTCTTGCCCTGTAAACAAATGACAAATGCTGAGGAAGCTACACGCCTTTGCCGGAGAAGCTTTGTTCCAGGTCATTTGCATTTTAGTGGTTCTGCAAGTTCGAAGCGTGTCCAGGCCAGGGTGTGTGCGCGGAGCCCTGAGGAAGGCCGCGCTGCTCTGGGGGTGCGGGGGACCTCCTTGCGCTCCGCTTTGGCAGCTCTCGTTCTGGCCCGGCACTTCCGATGTAGCATTGAATTTGTAGTTGTGAGGAAGAAGCCACTGGGATCGGTTCTTTGTCAGATCACAGCAGTTGTGTTCGCGGAGCAGGTGGAGAGCAAGGATTTGGGCTGCACTGGGGGTGAGTCAGGACTCACCCGTGTCCCGTGAGCTCCGGGGCTGAAGAGAAAATAAGTGCAAGCACACAGCCCTCCCTCACTCCCCTCAGTGGTGGTGTGTCTCGTGTGTGTGTGTGTGTGTGTGTGTGTGTGTGTGTGTGTGTGTGTTATCACCAGCACGGTGACAGGCAGCGTGTGAAAGCGCCCACACAAGTCCTGGGCCTGCTGCTGGGAGCCTCCTGCGGCTTTAGTTGACTCATCTCTGAAGTAAGGTCATGTTGAACCCTCGGCCGCTCCGTCCCCCTCTGACCGCGAGAGTGTGGTCACAGGAGCGCACGTCTTCCATGTCTGCGTTTCCTGTCCCAAGCAGTGTCACGGCATCACGGTGACTCCTGTGTCATCACTGTTGGACAGACACTATGAGTAAATGATTGGCCTCACAGTCTGACAACTCTCTGGGTTCTGAGACTGATTTTTAAAGACACCCCCCCACCCCTGAGGGCTGTCCCAGCCCCTCTCACCGCTGATTGTTGCGTCCTTCGTCCTCTCAAGCGGGGAGACCTTCAGCGAGTGGAGCACAGACTTGTCCGTGTGCCACAGCCCCGGGTTGGATTCCCAGTACCAAAAAAGACAAAGACGCTTTCCCCGAACACAGAGCTGTCGCGGCAGAGCTCCTGTTGTGCAAGCGTGAGGCCACAAGCTCGGCCTCCGCTGCCTCCCACACGCCGCATGACCCAGCAGCACTGCCCGCTGGACTCGCGGGCCGTGGGTCCATGTGATCCCCAGAACTCAGCAGTGTGATACAGCGGGCCCTGGAGCGAGACTGCGTGGGCACAGTCAAAGGAGTAGTACCCATGGGCACTGGGCGCAAGGGAGCAGGTCCTGCCGGGGCAGGGGGCGGAGGGAGAGAACGGGTTCAATTCCCAGCATCCCATACGGTCCCCCGAGCACCGCCAGGAGGAATTCTTGAGTGCAGAGCCAGGAGGAACCCCTGAGCATCACTGAGTGTGACCCAGAAAGAAAAAAAAATCTTCCAGTGTGGCAGCAGCTTTGGTTCCCATCCTCAGGCAGCTGCTGTGATAGGAGAACCAGGGCACAGTGGCCCTGACCGGGAGGGATTCCTGAGTGGAGACCAGGGTGGACAAAGCCCAGCGCTCAGGGGAGGGTAGTGCAAGTCGGGGAGGAGTCTGAGCAGGAAGCTGGGGGGCTTGGTGCTTTAGAGAACACCCCCTGGACGCCCACAGGGCCAGTGAGTGGACAGAGCGGAGAGACAGGAGAACGAACGGGCTGAGGAGAAGCGGGCCGCGAGGAGTTGAGAAATGAAAAGCCAGCGTTCCGTTTCTCCTCTCATACTCCACTCGTTGTGAAATTGTGGGCAGATGGGTTGTTGGTGAACTGTCCTAGGAATTGAGTCTTCTGGAAAAGAAATTTGAGATGCGAATTGAAAGCTCTTAGAAAGCCGTGGGGGACCGGAGAGATTACGGGTAGCTGAAGGCATTTGCCAACCCGGATTCAAACCCCAGCACCACAAATGGTCCCCTAGCACAGAGCCAGGAGTCAGCCCTAAGCGCTGCTGGGTGTGCCACGCCCCCCCCCCCCCCCCACACACACACACACACGCATTCCCCCAAAAGAAAGCCGTACAGAGCTTAATAAACAGCTTGGCAGGTACCATTTCTCAGGAAATACCTCAAGTCAGTTCCGGCTGTAGACGGGAGACAGCAAGCACAGGGGACTCCCCTGGCATTTAGAGGAACCTCGTCTTATCCTCGACCTGCCTTTTCTTTTCTATTTTCAACCTTTGTTGTATCACTTAACTTTTCCAAACCTATTTGTCCCACCGAAACCCAGAGCAGCGATGCCTGCCCAGGTTGTGTGGGTTGGCATCTGAAGCGCAGCCTGGAAGCCCAGTGGCCGCGGGGCCAACACTAGAAAGACGTTGTGCTCAGGGAAACTTCCAAGTGGCTAGTATGACACTAGGAGGTTCCTCTTCCTCCGCTGACCTGAGGCTTGGGGGTCCTTCCCATGGCCACGGTAAGCCGAGAGTGGCTCTGAAGTACTTGGGAACTAGCAGCACCCGTCCACGTGGAGGGTGTGGACAGGCCTGTGCTGTCTGCTCAGGGGATACTTGAACTCTCTTGCCTGCCCCCTGACACAGAAAATCAAGCCTTCCTGTGTGCTGATCGAACTTAGTATCTTAAAGAGACCCAAAGCCGCCAGCTTCCTACCCAGTTTTTCCCCAAGTACCATCTTGTCCTGACGAGCTGCGTCCAGTGGTTGTTACCTTCTCTCCTGCCTTCAGCCTTTTCTGGAAATGGTCGGCCTGCCTAGACTTGAACTTGGTCTCTCAGGGTTTCTCCCCCCGCTCACGATAGCATCATCAGCAAGTCAGACATAGCCTGTACATTCCCTGCCTCCAGGGTAAGGAATGCCTTCTCCTCCTGGGAAAAACCAGGACCCTGACTCAACAGGACTTGAAAGGGAACTGATGTTCCGATCCCGCTAAGAGACCGTGACTCCTTGTTCGTCCACGCTGGGATCCAGTTTCTCTGCAGAGAGTCCCTGGGGCTTTCGTTCATGCTGGTGGCCGTGATTCAGCAGCTGCTCACCGAGCCCCTCCTCTCCCTGGCCGGGCACTGCGGGCCCTGCTGATCCGGAGGCCCCGTTAGAGGGCGAGCCTGCAGCCAGCCAGGCCTCCGGGCACTGGCCTCTCCCCCAGCCCACAGAGGTCTCAGGATTTCCTGCTCCAGGGCTGCCACAGTCGGACAGCTTTGCTAAGCAGGAAGAAGTGGAACCGAATTCTGATTTCCTTACAGTGTTTGCCACCCCAGACCGGAAAGACCCTTGATAGGAACAAGATTCCCATTAAGATAAGAGGCTGTGATCTAGAGAGCCCCCCTGCCAGTCAGAGCACCGTTTTCACACGTGACATGTGTTTCCCTTTTCTAGATTAAAAAGACCGAGTGGCATGAGCAGCCTTTTGGGGAAAATTGGAGCCAAGAAGCAGAAGTTGAGCACCCTAGAGAAGTCCAAGCTGGACTGGGAGAGCTTCAAGGAGGAAGAAGGCATTGGTGAAGAGCTGGCCATCCACAACCGCGGGAAGGAAGGGTAAGAGGGGCCGGGCTCCGGCTGGGTGGGGGAGTGTCTGACGCTGCAGGGAGTGACCGATGCCAGCCCTGGAGGCCCCTGGGTGTGCCCAAAGACAAACCCAAGAAGGAAATCGATGTGATTCCTGCGAAAACCCTTGGAGGAACTCAGGAGGCATCTGTCACGGAACAGACCCCCCATACTGCCAGGGGCACATTTCTTGGTGAGATGGAAGTGGCCGTTGATTTGTCAGTGGAGCTGCCGGGGTGCAGGGCGGGAGCAGCCCGGCCCTTCTCTCGGGCACAGGTTCCTGCCGGCAGAGCTACACGTGGCTCGTGAACTCCCAGTCACCTTGTTTATCCACGTGTCGCCTCTGGCTCGCCGTGTCAGCCAGTTCCTTGGCAGACATGCTGTAGCACTTAAGCGCGGAGCCCACTAGACTCTCTGGCATCGTGCTGGGATTTTCAGTCCCGTCATCGACCGGGGTGGGGCTGCACCCCTGGCTGCCCCGTGCATGACACACCGGCCCTCGGCTCCCAGGTCCGGGCTTGCTCCCCTCCCTCTTCACCGGGCTTGCAAAGAGGATGTCCCTGAACTCCCTTTCGGGGAGTGCAAGAGACAGTGAGGTGCAGGCCCTCCTCCCAGAGGAAGGTGAGACTTAACTGCAGAAGTGGTCAGCACTCCCCTCCCCTCAGACTGGCAGGAAGTCTGTGGTCGGCCGACACCTTGGCGCCTTTCTGAAGCTCAGCCCCTTCACAGGGAGCTGGGGTTGGTCCCCCCTCAGGCTGTGAGGCCCCAAGCCTCAGGCCGATGTGTGTGGACATGTCAGTGCCGGCCAGTGAGCGCAGTGCCCGGCCCCGGCAGTTCCCCATCAGCAAAGCTGTCCTGAAGTGAGGGATTCGTTTGCAGGGTCAGAGTCCTCGGGCTCAAAGAACTGTGATGTGCTTAAAGTCAATAGGTAAATGACTTTATGAGCTTGCTCAGCCCAGGCTTCTGGGTCAGGCTCTCCGAGCTCTCCCGGCCCAGGAGCGAGGCGGAAGCACCGCGACCCTGTGGGGAGCCTGGCAGGGGTTGGCGTTATCTCCAGGGCCCCCGACTTTGGCCCCAAACCTCCCGAGTCTCTGCGTCACCCCCAGCAACCCGCCCGCTCCGCTCCGTGCCGGGCTGCTTTTCTGAGGGTTGATTATATGGGCTGGACAGTTTGCTCGGCCGAGGAGAATAGATTAGAACAGGAGTGGTACTGTTGGCGCGCGGGGCGCGGCTGATGGTGTCCTGGGAAGACAAGGCAGAAAGGCCATCTGCACACAAAGGACGCCTCACAGCCAGGCTGGGGGTGCCTTCGAGGGGCTTCCCGCGACTCCGCCTCCCTCTGGCGGATGCCCCCGCCCAGCCACAGGGTCTGGCTTCTGTGCCCGCTCTGCTCACTGGCCCCCACACCTCACTACAAAGGTTTCAGGAGTCCGGCCGAGCCCAGGGAAGGCCTTCACGTCTCACCTGGGCTGCGCTTGAGAACTCTGCCCCTCCTGTGTGAGCTGGGCGGAAACGTACCCTCAGATAGCATCTGGCCTCGGCCTGACCCTGCGGGGAACTCAGGGGAGTGACCTGTCCAGTTTGCCCCGGTGTCACTTCCTGGCGGGGGCGAGCCGCTGTCTGGGTACTGCACAGAGGGCACGGGTGCTCCGCGCGGTGAGCGCCTCTGGAAAGCCAGGCGGGCACCCCTGGCAGCGTTCTCTGCGGGGTTGGCGGCTTGCTGTGGAGGCCTGAGGCTGCGGGTTTCCTCTCCGAGCTTTTGCTTTTTTTCTTGGTTTCTGGGCCACACCCTGCAGTGCTCGGGTACAAGGCGAGCCCCTTCCCCAGTGCCCCCTCTCTGGCTGCTTCATTCTTCCCCTCCTCCTTCCCTGCAGTGGGCATGTGGCTGCAGTGATGAGGGATCACTGGGCCCCTGCTCCCTGGGCGCTGCATGCAGTGGTGCTCGCACACGTGTCAGGTCAGAGTCGTCCCTTTTTACTTACTTACCGGGGGAGTGGGGGAGAAGAGGCCACACCACGTTGCTCACAGTTTACACCTGCCTCTGCTCAGGAATCACTCCTAATCAGTCCTCAGGGACCATATGGCGTGCAGGGATTGACCTGGGTCGGCCCTGTACAGGACAAGCGCTCTGTAGTACCCGCTGTCCTATTGACCCGCTTTTGAAATCACCTGCAGGACTGGGGTCCGAGGAGCAGAGCTGCCACTCTCAGGCCTGTGGGACTCCCGGGGTCTGACGAGCACCTACGGGCAGGGGCTCCAACCAACTGTCTCCCCTCTGCTCTCACCCGGCCCCTACCCAGCAGTGCCCGGGGGCCCTCACAGTGTCAGGAATGACACATCCCAGGGCCTACCATGTACTTAGCAGGTGCTTAGCATGTCAGTCAGCTGATACAGTCAGCTGTATCACTGGGACACATCCCTGGTCACTAAAGATTGGGGGTGGGGGATTTTAAGGGTCCCGAAAGGTAGGATGGGGGTTAAGGCACTCGGCCAACCCTGGCTCGATCCCTGGCACCGCATATGGTCCCCCTCAGCAGAGCCAGGAGTAAGCCTTGACATCTAGGTGTTGTGGCCCTGAAAGAAAAAAATTTAAGAAAAAAACAAACCGAAAGGACCCGTGTATCAGTTATGTCGGTTTATGAAAGAAGTGAATGTCGAGTTCACGCCCAGCACAGAGCTCATATGTGCCTGTCGGGAATCCGTCTGCCCTTGCTGGCCACATCCCGGCCTTACTGGCTCGCTCCTGGCGGTTTTCCCTCTACCCTTCCTGGTGGTTCCCTGCCCGCCGATCCGGGCTGCGGCCAGGCCCTCCTCCCCGCACCTGGCCGCTATCTCTTGTCAGTCTGCCCCTCAGGCAGCTCCCCCTGACCGCTGTGCCTTGGCATCCTGGGCTCCAGGGTCCTGAGGCCACGGGCATGAGAGGGGCAGCTGACTCGGGGCTGCAGCTCAGCACTCGGGCCCAGTGAGGGAGTCCCAAGAAAGTACTTTCTTCCGGGCCGGCCGAGCAGTAATTTGGGTTGAGCGATCAGAAAAGATGTCACGGCCTGTTGTGTTTAACCTGGATCTGAAAGGAGGCCTGGAGCTGCCCCTGGGCTCGGAGGCTATTAGCGGGTTTCATTAAGGAGAGGGGAGCAGCTGTCCCGCCTGCCCGCCCGGGGACTGAGCCCAATCAGGCTGGGTCCCAGGGGGCTGCTCGGGCCCGAAGGGCAGTGCTGAGATGGAGGGGGGGCTCACCGCGAGCGTGCCCGTAGGCGCCTCCTCGGGCTGGAGCGCTTGTCCCGGCCTGTCCTGCAGCCCTCGGACTCTGCGGCTTCTGAGAGACCCGGTCAGTCAGACCTAAGAGGCAGAGTCCCCTCTTGTGCCCCTCACTGCTGGTCTGGTTTGTAAAGCTCTCAGAGGGTTCCATTGTGTCATTTTATCTTCCTTGCTTTATGTGGAAAGGCACCGAAAACTCCACTGTTCCAAGCCACTCACATAGCCAGTGTCAGGGCCACTGTGTCCCGGTGGGGGGCCCTGGTCAGCTCTACTCGGGCCCCGTGCAGCAGCTGCAGCGGGTGTGCAGTGCCAGACCTGTCTTGACGGCCTTTGTCTGGGCCGCCGTGGCCAGCATTCAGTCTGCACCTGCGTCCCTTGCTGCCCACGGCCGCCCTGGGTCTGACCTCGTTCGCCTGCAGGTCAGCTGCACACAAAGGCCAGCTTCGGGAACCTGCAACCTGGGGGGCATCATCATTACTGCCACTTCCTCTTCCTTTCCCAGGGAGCGAGCGCCCTTACAGTACCCCCTAACTCCTCTCCCGTGGCAGGGGACTGCGGGGTGGCTAGATTGCCTCACCAACCCCAGCTCTCAGCTGGTAACGTGGCGATGTCACGTGTGCACACCCCACTGCAGTGTCTGCTCCTCGGCAAAGGGGCTTCTGAGTGTTGGGGACTTCGCAGTTCTCCAAGGCATCTGAAATCCCCAAGCACCGCTCTGGGGAGCTCCCCACCCACACACACCCCTGCCGTCCAGAGCCGCCGCTTCCTTAACCAGTGCAGTCCAAACAGAGGCCTTTGGAGGAGGCAGGACAGTCCTGGGGCCGGGCTAGGGGCCACCCGCTCATAAGGCCCGCCTTATGTGCCTCTTACACGCCCGGCAAGGGTGGAGAGCCAGGGTCCCTTCCAGTGTGGGAGAGGGGCCCGGCCCCGCTGGCCAGCAGCCAGGAGGAGAGTCTGCGTTCACAGGTCGCCGCTGGGAAAGGCCGACCTGAGCTCAGCAGAGGGTACGGGCTCAGCCCATCTGCAAGTGCCCATCGTCCACGGACATCAAAGGAAGGTTTCTGCTGAGGTTCGGCTCTGCTCAGTGGGTTAATTAGCGGCAGAGATGCCGCCCCGGGCAGATGAGGTCCGCTTCTGGGGAGAAGAGGGTTCAGAGGCAGCTGGGACACCTTGGGAGCAGAGCAGGGTCCGTCGGGGGGCCTGAAGACGGGGGGGAGGCCGCTCTGCCCGGGACAGGGAGCCGAGGCGATGAGGGAAGGAGGGGTGCATGTCCCGCCCTCTCAGCTCTGAAGGAGGACTTCCGGCCTAGTTTTCCACTTGCAGGTGCAGCTTTCTCCTCCCGTTCCCCCCACCTCCAGTGCTCACCTGAGACGGGAAACCTGGCGGGCCTGATGTGCCAAGAGGAGGAGCCAGAGCTGCCGGGCGTCGGGCATGTGGCCATCAGGAGCCAGGCCTGCCCCTGTGCTGTCTCCTTCCCCTGGGGCTTGGGGCACCGTCCGCCACCAGCGCACCCAGTACTTACCCAATGGGTCGTCACCTTCCCCATCTGCCCGTCACGCCTGGTCCCGAAGCGTCCCTGGGTAGCCCCACAGGACACAGCTGGGGGGTCGCCCGGGCACCCAGCACGGCAGAAGGCGCCCTCTCACGCCGGATTCTGCAAAGTCCGTCTCCTTCTTCCCTCAGGTACATTGAGCGGAAAGCTTTCCTCGACCGGGTGGATCACAGGCAGTTTGAAATCGAGCGCGACCTCAGGCTGAGCAAGATGAAGCCCTGACCCAGACGCCGGGTTCCGTCCTGCCCACACGGGAGCTGCGGGTGTCCAGCTCTTGCCCAGCAAGGTCCTTGTTTTCTACGTTGGATTTCTGTCTTTTTATCTCGATTCTACTTGATTTTGTTCATTGTTCATTTTATTGTAAAAGTTTGTCCTTAAAATAAAAAATTTGAAAAACAAAATTTGGGCTGGAGTGATAGTACGGCAGGAGGGAGGGGCATTTGCCTTGCACGCCGCCAACCTGGGTTCAATCCCCGGCATCCCATCTGGTCCCCCAGCACCGCCAGGAGTAATTCCTGAGTGCAGAGCCAGGAGTGACCCCAGAGCATCGCTGGGTGTGACCAAAAGAGCAATAAATAAAACCCAGAAGCTGGTTCTTTGAGGGGCTGGCACAGGGGCCGGCGTCACTCGCGGCGTTTATTCTGCTGGTCCACCGGGCCAGGCATCCTGTCTGGGGCTCAGTCCTGCGGGGACCTCTCCTGACTAGGGTCCTGGGAGCCCCTGGAGGGGAGACTCAGCTGCCACAGCTGAGGGGCTGTTTGCCCTTCTTGCTCCTTCCTCTTCAGCACATTCAGAGCAGCTTGAGATGCTGTCGCACGTCCCCTGAACTTTGAGGTAGCACTGAAGGACACTTTTCTTTTGACACCCCCTTAAGAACGTTTACGAAGGGGCCAGTAAAGCAGGAGAGGTGCATAGTGTTTGCCGGGAGTCATCCCCAGGCACTGCCTAATGGACCTCCACCTCTTCTCCCCCCGCAAAAGAGGAAGTTTAGGGGGACAGAGCAATAGCACAGCGGGTAGGGCATTTGCCTTGCACACTGCCGACCCAGGTTCGATTCCCAGCATCCCATATGGTCCCCCGAGCACCGCCAGGAGTCATTCCTGAGTACAGAGCCAGGAGTAACTCCTGAGCATCGCCAGGTGTGACCCAAAAAGAAGAAAAAAAAAGTAAGCTTACAAACCTTCAGGATGTTAGAGCAGTAACCCTATTCCTGCGGGTGAGGTCATGTCCCGAGGCAGCAGCGGTAGGTGCAGGAGGAAGGGGGTCCTGAAGGCTGGGATCAGGCTGTGCCGCTCACCTGACCTTGACTGAGGTCTAGCACGGTCACTTGGCTGTGTGACACCAGCGCCTCAGGGTTGAGCTGAGCTGATGACAGGCGCTCGGTCAGGGCACCACTCTGAGAATGGTCAGAAGTTCACGGCCGCCGCGTCCTGATTATCACCTGCCTGGTTCTGGGCTTGCAGCCCTGGTCGGCCAGAACGGTGGTACAGGAGCCCCCCTCGGCACCTTGTCCGTGCGCACTGACGGGATTCTGGCCGGCAGCCTCGGGACAGCGGCTGGGCGCTGCTGTGACTCATTCCTCAGCCTTGCTGGCCAGGGTGCTCAGGGACTCAGTCATTCTTCAGCCTTGCTGGCCGGGGTGCTGAAAGAACAAGGCCCCAGGCCCACGGGCACGAGGCTAGCCCTGCCATGGGGGGCTCTGAGCACCTCATTGGTTGTTGGCTGCCCCGAGTGACAAGTTCTCTGGTCCCAGCTCCCCCTTCCACAATCCTGCCTCCTGCTGCCATCAGGGAAGCTCAGGGCCCCACTCGCACCCTTCCAGCCTGAGGAGCCGCCGGCTCTCGCCCAAGAGCCTGTCATCGTTGCTGTTGTCACTGTGCTTTAAGAGAGCCTTGGTGGAACCAGAGCCGGCCCTGGTTCGGCAGATCTCCGCACACACCTCACCCTGCTTGACTTAGGACGCCCTGGGTTTGGCCAGCCACCACACACTGAGAAGCACCTCACTGGGCCCCACCGACAGGATGGACAGCGTGTCCCCATCCTCGTCACTGGTGGTCCTCCACGCCCCCAGACCATGGCATATTCCACTGGCGTTTGGCCTGACTTCCGCTTCCTTCACCGACATGTTTAAATGGGACTGTGGAGATGCCACAGAGGGCAGGGCACTGGCCGTGCGCGAAGCCAACCTGGGATTGATCCCCGGCACTCCATATGGGCCCCCAAGCCCTGCCAGGGGACCCCCAAAGTGATATAGACGTCTCATGTTAGAGGGCAGGCCCAAAGGGCTGGGGCACAGCTTTGCAAACTCTGGGAACCCGTTTGTTTCCCGACAGGGCTTGACCCTCCCAGTACTGGGCCAGGCAGCGCCCCCGAGGGCCGCCCAGTGCAGTCTGGAAAAACTAAACGTGTTAAACTAAGCCCCTTTTCCTGCTGAAGCAGCTTCCCCTGTCTCTCGCGTGTTCGTGTGTGTGCACGCCCGTACATCCTCTCCCTGCTGACCGCCCCTCCCTCGCGGGGCCGGAGGCGGCCTGGGCATCGCTCTGCCCACCAGCCAGTGGTTCCGGCCCAGCAGGGGCTTCCATTTCTTTAAAATGGCTCCGGAGGAAAGGGGCGGTTGAGATGAAATGAGGGGCCGCGTGTGGGCGAGTGTTGCTGAGTGAGGGGCACACAGGCCCCGCACACGGCTCCGGGCGGTTTGGAGTTGCTTTGAATTCGTTCAGACGCTGCAGGTGGGAGCGAGGGAGTAGAGGGGCCTCTGCTCATCTCACTCCTGCCCCGGAGATCTGGTAGCAGCCAGGGAGGGGTGGTCGCGGGACCACTGTCCGGTTCTGCTGCTCCTGGGTCCTGTGAGGGCCTCCTTCCACGGCTCAGAAGGTGCGGATGGACACAGACTGAATGGCACCCGACGGCAGGACGCGCCGCCTCTGGCCTCAAGCCTTCCGGTCAGACCAAGAAGCCGGTGGAAGACATTCGGCACAGGCCGCTGGGCTCCCAGTCAGTGGGCATTTCCCAGAGGTCCGGAGGTGCTTGGGGCCCACCCACCCAGTCTGACCTGCCTGGGGAATGGCTCGGGAATGCCCCCCTCAGAGGCCGCTGGGCTGGGCTGGGGTGCAAGGGAGCCGCAGGCGACCGACCCACCTTCTGTCAAGAAGCACTTTCTGGGGCCAGGGCGACAGTACAGTGGGCAGGTCATTTGCCTTGCACAGGGCTGACACAGGTTCGGTCCCCAGCATCCCAGCTGGTCCCCCAAGCACCTACTGGAGTAATTCCTGAATACAGAGCCAGGAGTAATCTGAGTAACCCTGAGCACCAGATGTGCCGCAAAAACAAAACAAAACAAAACAAAAAAACCTAAAAAAAAAGGCATCTTCTTTGCCTGAGCCTCATCAGGCAGACACCCCCCAGAAGGCCCCAGAAACAGGAGCAGCTGGAGCGGTAGGACAGCAGGCAGAGTGCTCGCCTTGCACAGGGCCAACCCGGGTTTCATCCCCAGCACCCCTTGGGGTCCCCCAGCACCCACAGAAATATTCCCTGAGCAAGGGCCAGGAGTCAGCCTTAAGCACCACTGGGTGTAGCCAAAAAACAAAGAAACATAAACCTTGTGGCTCCTATTCCCAGGGCCCCTCTACGCCCGAGGGAAAGGGAGCTGCAACGGCCAATGTTGGTCAGTGTCGGGCCAGCTCCCAACCCACTGCCCAGAGATCCCCCAGGGCCCCACCCCCATTGCCCAGAGATCCCCCCCAGGGCCCCACCACCACTGTCTGGAGACCCCCAGACCCCAACCCCCACTGTTGGGAGACCCCAGCCCCCCCAGCCTCCCCACAGTGGGGGTGGGGGTCTGGGGGCAGTCTCCATGCAGTGAGGGGGTTGGAGGGTGGGGGACTGGGAATGTAGTCTGCGGGCTGTGGGGGCAGGGGACTGTGGGGGGTCTCCAGACAGTGGGGTCGGGGGTCTGGGGGGGGTCTCTGGGCAATGGGGGCAGGGGCCTGGGGGTCTCCAGGAAGTGGGGGCAAGGGCCTGGGAGGGTCTCCAGGCAATGGGGTGGGAGGCTGGGGGTCTCCGGACAGTGGGGGTGGGGGCCTAGGGGGGTCTCCGGGCAATGGGGGCAGGGCCCTGAGGGATCTCTGGACAGTGGGGGTGGGGGGCTGGGGGTCTCCAGGCAGTGGGGGTGGGGGCTGCGGGGGCAGTCTCCAGGCAGTGCTGGGGACTGCGGCGGTGGGGAAGGGCGGCCCAGGTGCCTTGTGAGGGGATGGAGCGTGAGGTTTCCTGGCCTTCCTTGCCCCTGCCACCCATCCGTCTTTGTCTTCTCCCTGTCCCAGAGGGCTGTGTCGGATTTCCTGGGCATCTGTTACCTTCTCATTACCGAAAAGAACCGGGCCTGAGAGAGCGTCAGGGCAGGGCAGGGGGCCGCTGCCTCGAGTGCCTCTCGCCAGTTGCCTCCTCAGGAGCCCCACGTCAAGTCCCGGGGGCAGGCGCCCCCCCATTAGCCACCAAGGAGGACGAGGCCAGCGCCCCAGACGACTAAGGGTCAGCGGGTAGCTCAGGGGTCTGTGGACCCGAGGCTCTGTATCGACCAGGCGGGCCGGGCCGGGAGTGAGGAGCTGGGCGGCCTCACAGGCAGAGGTGAAGAGCTTGGAGCAGCCCTGGTACTTCGTCCCGATCCTCAACTGCCTGCAGTTGCTCGGCCTTGTTGGGGGGGAGCGTCTGCTGGGGGCTGCGGGAGCTGGGGACGGCCTGTCATCGGCCTGGCAGCTTGGTTGGGGTTGGGGTTGGGGGGGCTTGGTTTGGGTTTCAGTTTTCTTTTGCGGAGGGTGCTGGTTTTGATTTTTCTTTTTGGTGCCACGGATCGACCCCAAGGCCTTGCAGGTGCTGTGCGTGGGCCTCACCCCTGGGCCGCTTTCTGAGCTGGCGGACACCACCGGAACAGTAGGGCAGGGCTCCACACAGGGACTCCCTGGTAGGCGTCAGAAGCTCTAAACTGGGGCGGGGCGGGGAGGGGGAGCCATAGAACAGCGAGCAGGGCGCTTTCCTTGCACCACTCAGGTAGGGTCCCCCGAGCACCACCAGGAGTGATCCCTGAGCGCAGAGCCAGGGGGGTCAGCCCAGAGCATCACTGGGCGTGGCCAAAAGCAGCCACTCCTGCTTCATCCACAGACGGGTAGCAGAGAGAGCCGAGTGCAGGGGCTTCCTGGGGGCGTCTCCTCGGCCCTTCTCACTTCAGTGGAGGAGCATGCCTGCAGGTGGAGCCAGACGGGCCCGGGTGTGGGCTGGGCACGACCAGATGGAACCTTCCTGGAGCCCTGACTGTATGTACGGGAGGGTCACCCTGGCAAGGACAGTGGCCAGGGGAGAGTGGCGGGGGGGGGGGGGGGGG